CCGTCAATCATGGTAATATAGATACATCCTCCGAGCTAAGAGTACTCGCCAGTGATTGGCGTGATCTTATTTTCCTGCTTATCAAGAAGTGTTATTTTATGTTTTCTTGTGTCTAATATTATCTAAATCCTGGAGTGCGCTCTTAAGGATTTGCTTAATTCTATTGTGCAAATTTGGTCTATCAATGATACAAAATCTAGGAACAACCCTGCGAGATGAACATAATTTCAAAAAACGAATATGGTCGACTTGCCAAGCCAATGTTTTCTTGTTCTTAGTGTAAAGCAGTGATTCCCAAACTGTGCGCCGCGGCGCCGCGGGGAGCGACTTTACGTGTCTCTTTGACGAATTGTCGTGTGGTGCTAAGACTGGCAATGCCCACTGATGATACTGACTACGATGCCGGCAAAACATCTGAGAATGTACCACGTCTACCGTCCGACTGAAAATGATCATGCATACAATGAACTCTGAGCTAGGTGCGTTCCTCTAGGTCTTCCTACCAATATGACCAAGTTGCGAAAACAAGGTCAAGCAACTTCTATACAACAAAAGAAGACCGCGACCACACAAAAAGCCACACCATCTTGGTGTTCATACCTTCGATTAAATTTTTCTTACTCACCTCAGTTCCTGCTCCCGACGCAAGACAAAGGATCCTTATAATCATGGGTTTCATAACTCCTACTTTAACCCTAGACACTTCACTTCTCAACAGCATGTGAGAAAAGCATAGCATATCAAGCCAAATCATAAGACGTCTTAATAAATGGGTACATCTAGTCTATAAAAAGTGGATAGAATTGCAGCCAACCATCTTTCTTTCCTTGGTGCTTGATGAATTATCGTTAAGCCTGGTGTCCTACTCTGACGATGTCCTTCACATAAAGGACGAAAGCTCAACAAGTATTTTTGGGGTCGCATTGCGATGCGCCGCGGACCAATTCTCGCAAATCTACTATTATATCTCCGAGGCATCCACCAACAGCTTTCGATGAGACCACTTCCCGAATCCCTTCCATTTACCTCTGTAAATACAACTGAAATCACTCCAAAATCAATCTATTAAGGGATTCTTCGAAGACCATATTTGCTAAAGTGCTGTGGGTGGTTTGCGAGTCTCTCAATTATTCCGAAATAAGTATTTCTTCAACCTATGCCATTTAAGGAGGTCTAAAGAATGATAGCGGGTATTGTTGCAGTGAGTTGAATAGGCCTCACAATGCAACCGTTTTGGCTTTAATACGACGTTCGGGTTGGCACATTCCACGAGACATCCCCACCCAGAGCGAGGGAAGATGTCTCATAGACTGTGCCAACCTGAACGTCGTATTAAAGCCAAACAGCTGCAGTACAACAGGATTCAGCCCTCGTCTTCTGGTGAGATTGACCTACGAATCTCTACTTCATGCACTTTCATATGAAATGAAGGTCTCCCAAGCAATACCATTCTACTACATATTAACTGAATATTTACAGAATCATTGCTATCATGTTATTAGAAAAATATCAAGTATTATATCATATCCGTGCCCAAGGGAGGATAAATTAACCATACATCATGTCTGTATTCCCATGTTAGTTAGTATGCCACGTCACTCCATTGATCCGTTACCTCTCACCTCTTCAACCTAGACTTATCATTCGCCTCTATTCCATTTTATTATGTCTAAGATGGG